CGATACGCCTAACTTCTAATAAGGTACGAAGAGCGAAAGTAGCGGAATCTGTGAGTTCTCGTATTTGTGGTATCCCCACCCGCGTGCTGATCAGCCGCTGGAACCTAGAAGAAGTACGGGGAATCGGGGATCGTCTGTGTCAAATTGCATACCAGATCTCAACGGTTTTGGGTGCGTGATGCGAAACCTAAGCCAAGCTCGTCATAACCTTTCTCTATTACCAAGACATACGAGTCACGCATCTGCCGAACTGCCATCTTCCAAGACGCAGGTACAATTTTCTCTACCACGGTTGACTTTTAACATACGTACAACCGGGCATTATCGGCTCGCTGACTCCTTCTTGACCATCCTTCATTTATCTATACGAGACAAAGTCGAAATCATTCTTGTAAGTTGTACATACAGTAGCATGTCACCGGTGGTTACCGTAGACTTGGCCGCTAGAAAGCTGCTAGAAAGTGGAGAAGCCCGTGACCCAAGTCGTACGAGGGCGAAATTATGTCGCCGTAAATCCCCCCTTCAGATGTAGCATGCATTACGGTATGCAATCGTCAGACTCCGAAAGGGCCCCCCGAACAGCCCCTGATAAAATGGGTTAATCATAGTAGTAGTAGTAGTAGTAGTAATAGTAGTATTGAGGTACGGTAAGAGCATGCAACCCTGAGGTCAGATCATCTGCCTTGTGAAGGTCTAAAAGATAGGTAAGGTAAGGTAATAATAATGTTACGGTGGTACAGTCAACAGTGGGCCGGGGCCAAGTAGTAGAGTATTTTCTGGCCAACCGAGCGGCGACATAAGGTACCTAAGTAAAGTAGTAAATAGACAGCGCTGTTCACGTTCTAGACCAAACTTCCCAAAATTAGCCGGTCTTTCGGCACTATTCCAGCCGCATTCGGCCAATTAGGCAAATCTACTCATCCAATCGGCTATTCTCATATGATGACTAATTTCTAAAAGAAGAAGTCTCTGCGACAGTGCAGCCTCACACAGCGGATGCCCCGAAGGATTCCCAGAATGGAACATAAAGACTCAAAAGATGAACTGGCGGGGAGTATTAAGAATAGTAGTTAGAGGAAAAAATGAAGGAATGGAAGGATGAACAGGCAGTGGTCCTAGCGTTACCATGTAAGTCAGCGGTCTCGGTCATACAGAGCTCCTTTTGCCGTATTCCTCCCGGATCCATTGACGGCGCCTGGAAGATTGGACGGAGATACACGTCTGGCAGCAGAATGAGAAGAGCAACACATAATGGCTGCAGTGATGACTGCACTCAACAATGACAAGATGTGGAGACAAGATGCGAAGTATGATGATGATGTTGATAATGAGATTATCGATCTTTGGTCCTAATGTGCTGATGTTTATGCATGATTTCCCTCGGCTCGGTAAAGTCCACCATCGATCAACGCACTGGCGTTTAGCAAAATGTTTCATTAACCACTCGAGGCTGTGTCGTAAGTATTGAAACACCGACAAACCCTGCAACATGTGTAGGATTTTGCCAGCGCATGCGAAGGATCAGGTACAGGGTACTTCAGCTACAGTGCCACCTGATGCCATGAGCGAGGTACTCGGTACCATCGCACCTTGTTACTCTCTGCTCCTACTACCGGCTGACTTCTCTTGTTTAAGGTGTCGCGAACTCGTCCAAAGTCCGCGAGGAGACATGAACCATCGACTGGCTTGCGCCTTTTTTGGCATGCATTCTCAACTTTCCTGTACTCTCTCGGCAACGTCATGCAGTCCACGGCGGGCGACCGCTTCTTTTGGAGGCGGCCCCCATATTGATCCGTCGACCATTCCAAGGCTGTGTCACGAGGTTGTATCGATGTGTTCCCTTTCTAGCTTATCATCCAGTTCCATCGGTCGTCCCTCTTCTTAATCTATCCAAAACAAATCTCGCCGTATGGAGGTGCCGCGGATTCCCATTCGTGTGGCTTGATCGTTCTGAGGGCCCGGTTGAGGTCTCAATTAATAATTAATATAAGCAAGCGCTAAGCGATACCCATGTCTGGGCAGTGCGTCTTGGCTTAGATCCATCCTCAATCGCGAGGATTCATTCTCAGCTGCACGCATCATTCCTCTTCCCGAACATGGGTCGGTCTCCAGAAATCCCATTTGCTGTAAATGATCCTGATCCTCCAGGACAAGCGATGAGCATTGTATCATCATTTCCGCGCATACGTGTTGTTATCATCCAGTCTGCCGTTGGTGTCTTGGGCGGAGCTCCATATCTCATCCTCGCTGTTATCTTCCTCTACCAGTCCAGCTAATCCATCATCCTTCGAGCCGGAGTCTCCTTCCGATTCTCGTGTTTGATCCATCACGTCCTCATCTGCAGATACAGAGATACCTCTTGGCCCCCAGTTGCCTCCTTTCTTTGATGCTTCTGCGCTGCCATTATTCCTCACTCCATCTCCTGGGCCCCTCTCCTCATCGTCCATGCTTGCATCTCCTCGACCCAGTATCCTGCTAACCAGAAAGCCTCGACTGAGATCATCAGAGTCGACGACACCACCATTTCGGAGCTTGACCCTTTGCCGCGTCCAATACACCCATGCGAAGTCGACATAGAAAGCCGTTTGTATTATTCCGAAGAGTACTGCTCGCCATTCGAAATGATGCTCAGAAGATGCTAGGCGTACGATCCAATTCAGTATGTAGAACGCTCGGTATGACCCAAGCGTGAGAAGGTAAAAGGAATCGATGACTGTTGGCACGGTCGTTTGTCGGAGCAGAAGAAGTTGGGGTATAACACAAACTGATTCCAGTATGATCGAGAATGTCCATAGCATCTCAAAAAAGCTGAAATCTTTCTTTTGGGCAATGGCTGTGGCGATGGGCGCCAGGAGCACTGACCCCCCCAAACAATATGCTCCTAATCTCCACGCCTTTTCTCTTTCCCGCGTCCGGGCATAGATTTTCATCATGAGAAATATGATGTAGAGTGAAGAGAGGATATAGAAGTTCTTCAGAACGAAGTTCCATATAGAGGCAAAAGGCGGAGTCCAGAAGAGATCGAGGTAGCGTGTGATGAAAACAGCAACGTAGAGCATCTGGGTAATCAATGATACACCTAAAGCAACGCAATCAGCGAAATCCATTAGGCAAGGTCGTAGATGGTTACCCTCGGCGCTCTGGTTGTCGTGTATTGCCCAGATCAAGATACATTTAGAAGCTGTATGGGACAAATCGCCCAATATACGAAACACATTCATGTTGCCCATCTTACTCTCACCCGAACGAATGACACACCAGAGTGACACTTGACAGTCTTTTTCTGTGAGGAAGGTCCTGGCAAGCGTTCGCTGGAGCCTGCTGATCAGCGACCAACCCCTGCCAACATCCAAAGCTGCCACCACTGCAAGAGAGCCTTTTCCTCAAAGAGCTCAGGAAGATTCCAGCACAGTAGTGATGTTCTTGGTATGTTGCGAGGTCTTTAAGAGGCTGATTCGTGTAAGCGGTGACTTCTAAAGATAGCCATTTCGAAACAACTCAGTTCCGTTCCATTGACCCTGTGCTGTTGTACCGACAATGCGCTTCTCGTATTCAACACTAGAGGCTCACTAGGCGAGAGGGATGTCTGACGATCTCCACGGCGAGTATTTTACCGCTAAGCAAGCTCTATAGCCGTATTACGCCTCCTCATGTGTGTATCCCGAGACGAACCACCCTATCATCTTGCAAGAAGGCAAGAGAGCGAATTCCAAAGGAACTGCAATTTATCCCTACACGATCCAGGCGTCCACTAGCTTCTCACTACATTTGGTAGCTATGGCGCCCCTCCCAGCAGCTATTCGCGTCGCCCAGACAATTGGCATCACAGCTTCAGCATTCTGCTCTGGTGGGCAGCATTCCTCAGAAGAAGCAGAGGCTGCCTCCGCTCTCGAATAGCTCTGACAGGACTCACAGGTAGCATCCTCAGCATATCCATCCTCACAATCCCAACCTGGCTCATCGCCCCAAGTCCAGTCCTGGTCAGGCAATGGCAACTCTGTTTCGACCGCGGAAAGATATTGAACCCGGCCATCGCCCTCGTCTCCATCATCTCCTACAGCTATCTCTCCTACAGACTCTACGGTACCCTGAATCACCCCAAGGCTGAAATGTATGGACTATCTGCGTTGGCAACATTTGGGATATGGCCGTACACGATTTTCGGGATGATGCCTACGAACCGGAAGCTTTTCAAGAAGCACGATGAGATGAAGGGTTTGGATGTTGGTGAGAAAGCTACGGAGGTGGGGTTGGCGAAGGGAGAGAGTGCAAAAGAACTAGTGGATAGGTGGGGGATGCTGAATCTAGGGAGGAGTGTGTTCCCATTAGTGGGAGCTGTGCTGGGGTTGTGGGCAACCTTGGCTTGAGACACTTCAGTCGTGTTGGAAGATACAATCGCAGACTGCTCGATGTGTACAATTTATCGTTTGAAGAGAGGGCATTGGCCCATGGTAACGAAGGAGGAACAAACCGCGGCCCAAGTCGCAAGCGGTTCCCTGCGGTGAATTGTCTATAAGCAGGCCTAAACCAGAGGGTTTTTACCCAGCGGTCATTCTCTTTTGGGTCCGAGTACTCGCAGAACCAATATCAGCTGCACAGCGCAGCTAATGTTTTTCAAAATCTGGAGAGCTTTGCTCCATCTCCAGCGGTCAAATTGCATAGTCTTTCCCAATATCAAACTCCCCAATTCTCTAAAGATCAACATCACGGACCTTTAAATTTAAATAGAAGACGGCATCTACCCCTCCTTCTCACAGCAATACGAGCACTTCAACTCAGGCAACCCGAGCTTCGGGCAACGCAAGGGGGCGCTACACTGTATGACTATCCACAAGCAATGCGAGTCACACTCTCAAGAGCGTACCTACCCCCTTAGCGCTGAAGCAGCTGCTCGCTGCCAAGCGTCAGCGTTTGGCACCTCTTACCTCGACCCTTTTCTGAAGCAGCTCGATTGTAGATCTCGGAAAGCTATCCTCGAATACACGCTCAGCAATTACACCATGGATCAAGCGAATAAGGCCCTTTGCCGAGTCCTGGGTCTCGACACTGGACACCTGGCCCGGTCTGGACCTGTATTTCCTACATGATATCATGGTCCTAGCAGCGCTGAACCCTGGACTTGGTTCCGAGCGAGGAATACCGGAACGTGCAGAGGCTTGCTGGGACGTGTGGAAGAAATGTCGAGCCAGGTGATAGAAAGAGGAGCCAGACCATAGCCAACGCCAGGAGATCTTCGCTCGCAGCAAGCAGACGCCGGCAGACTTCTTGAGGTCTCTGCTCCCCGAGAAGAAACATGAGATCATGATGGCGCAGAATGGACGGTCTCTTGCTGCCTCGTCGTTGATTATGCTGCATGGCTTTCAGGAAATTGTGGTCAAGGACTACGAGGAGCAGGCAGGCAGGCGAGACTCTATTGACGAAGATCTGTTGAATTCAAGCTACCACCACGTTTAGCAAGCGCGAGCGACTTCGTCAACAAGTCATAGAGTGCTACATAGAGGCCGGCGATGGGGGATGTGAACAATGTTTACGCTGAGCCGATATATTCCGTCGTTATCCCTTATCCCGTCGGGGCGATGCCTTCAGTGACCTAGTGGCCAGGCTGGGTCTGCAAAGGCCTTTACTAGAATGAATTTGGAAGTCCAAGGCTGAAAAGTGGACGGATTCGCTTCTGCATTAGGTGCCTGAAGAAGATGTCGGTGCGGGCGACTGCTTTGCGATGAAGCAAGGAGGTTGATAGTTGAAGGTTTCAAAGTCAAGTTCGGGTAGATATATTGACTCTCCTCATTGGTGATGCTTTCGCCTTCCTTCCTCCTTCCTCCCGTCGTTCCTCGCCCAAATAACCTAAGGGGAAATCAAAGACAATTCAATCTTTGTCTCTACGTGCTGATCACGATCTGACCACCAAAATTGGATTGGGTTTTTGACAACATGGTCCATCTGAATCGACGCTATGTTTACCATTATCCTTTGTTTGCTCAACTGTCTGATACTTTCTACGATCCCTAGCAATAAAACCTACCTCTTCTTCGCCATTTCCTCAACTCTTCACACTATTCATTAGCCCCTCCATCTACCAACCCTTTCACACTCGCCAGCACAAGATGAACCTCGCAAGGAAAAGAGGAACAGGACAGAGTCCAATCCATAAGCCACATAAGGATGGGATCTACTCCCAGATAGTTCGACCGGACCCTTCGAGCTCGAAGACGCCTGAGGACAGCGACCAAGCGAAGCAACAGAGGCTCTCCGGACAGCAAGAACCCGAGCCTCGTAGCGACGGAGAGCGGCCGACTGGCCAGACCATCCAAGAGTTAGAGCGTCAATGGAAGTTAAAGGAAGGACGGTTTTGAGATTCGAGACTCGGGCACGCCTGGCATGCGAGAGGGTCAGTGGTAAATGTGGCGGTAAATACGGGGTAGACAGCCACGAGCGACGACGATGATGAAGATTATGCTCGTGTTGTTCTTGGAGCGCGCGGAGATAGATTAATTTCTTCAGCGTCTTCAGCGTCTTCATTCAGCGTCACAGTTGCCTCGTTTCCTCCTCCTCCTCCTCCTCCCCTCCTTAGTCTCCATACAGAAACCTCAATGGCCGGGGATACGTCGGCACTGTTGATCTGACAATCTTTTATAAAAATGCGTGGCGAATCGCAAAACAATCGCTAGCCAGTACAGACCCTTGACGCGAAACAGTGAGACGAGGGTGCCAGCATCATTCGACGAAATGTACAATCCACCATCCAAACGCTCCTTTACGGGCCAAGGGAGGCAAGTATGGATAGGACATCTGACCATATCGTTAGCTCTTTTGGAGGATATCTGCATGAGTACGTCGTGGACGCGGCGTTTCGCAGCCACTCGTACAACCAACAACGAGCAACTGCTTCATATGTGGGATGCTCTCCCAAGCTGTCCTTCATGCAGAAGACTGGTCCTGTTAAGGGAAAGTGCCTCTCGACTCACTGTCGGATAGATAATTTCTGCCGGAGTCACTGTCTTTGATGCTTAGTTGAATGGAAATTTGAGGCTTCGCTTCTTCAATGTGAATATGATCTTAGCACTATCAACACTAATACTTTGTTCCTCGCTATAAAGTCCGGCAACGTTCCCTCAAAGACATGCTTCACACACTACGCACATTTGTTTAAGAAACCCGTCACATCCGTAAGCATCAGCTGAAAGATGACATGGGAAGTTTCAGACCTCCCAGCATCTCGATGAGCAAGATCATCTAGACGCCATGGCCACCATATTCGACTACGTAGCTGCAGAGCTGCACCAAATACTCCTGTCGAAGAAAAATCTCGTGAACCCAGCATCCCATCAAATCTCGACGCTACTCTGATGGCTGCCCACATTAGTCAACCATGGCGTCCTTAGACAGCTCGAAGCCAAGCCATTATTATCATCGGTTTGGTACCAGTCTCCCTTAACACCTTCGGGACAATTTCGCGGATTGGTATCTCGCCAACCGAGAGTCGATGATTGCCGTCCACGACGCTGAAACCGAGAACGAGTCGGTTATGTACGCTGATTCGCGATCTATACAGAATTCTGGATCCTTATGATGTCTCAATGGCTGGTTAGCCTGTTCTTTGGAAGCCCGCACCGGTATTTGATAAGCCAGATCATACTACCGCTCCTCGCAGATACACCAAAGCCAATTTCGCGTTGGACCCAGTTCTCCTGATCGATCACTGGCGAGAATCTGTTCGTCAAGCATTCGTAGCGAAGGACTGGAGGATCGCGACTGGGGAATGAAAGGTGGGCATCGAGGCTGTCGAAGGGAGGCATGACCTGGTCGACTGGTTACATGGCGCCGGTAATGAGGGCCAGCAACGGGTTACGCTTGGTCAAGTGGTGGTGATGGCCAAGGCTGGCGCTGGGAAGCTGGGCGGTATGGCTCAGGAGAAGGTGACTATGGATTAAGCCAGAAAAAACAGGATTCAGAAGCAAGGAATCAAAAAGCCTTGTTCGGTCAAGGGAGAGAGACAAATTGAGCTTATCCAGGGAGAGAACTAGGATAGACAGCGCAATCAACATGGCAGAATGAGACCCTATCATATGCATCCTGTCTCTGCATTTACCCTTATCTGCGCGTCGATGCGGCTATTGGCATTGTTAGTGTGGGGATACCGTATGCCTTGGTAGAAAGTTCGCCAATTCAACTGATGCATTGATAGAATCCCGCATTCTAACAGCGAAATGTTTTGCGCGGTGTTCTTCCACAAGATATTTAGCGTTGTCGTCGAATTGTATCGATCGATCGGGCGTTACATTTGTCGGGTGTGTAACGGTGCACACGATAAACGGAACCCGAGTCTAGCGTAGTCCTTGATGGTCGATCTGATTTCAAAATTCTCTTTAAATCTGTGAAGCACGTTCCATTCGCATGTGTGTTGTACTGTAATGTTTGTCAATCGCTTGGGGATTCCAGCGAAGCATTATTAACAGAGAACACAGCCCTACACTCAACCTCAAGTGTCTTCAACCCATCACTCAATCATGAGTGTTGCTGAAGAGCAACGTCTCGATTTTCTTCACACAAAATGAGCTGGGCCCAACCTAGAGGCGGGAAAGAGGGGAGAAGGCAGAGAGGAGGAGAAGGGCTAGACTCCTATTGCGACTGCGCGATGGATCGGAAGATATACCGACCTTCTGGGGGAGAACTAGAACGCCGCATAGATGTCCCGCACCAGTCAGAGATGCCACCTCGAACGCGACCCGGGTACTGTTTACATGGGCAACAAGAGTTGCCACTTCCACCCCCACAAGATTCGTCGCTTGACTGGCAAGAAGAGAGACGGCTTCCACCGCGACCAAATCCGTCGCCTGGCTGGCAAGAAAAGTGTCGGCTTCCACCTCCACGACGTTGGTCGCCTGGCTGGTACGAAGAGAGACCACTTGCTGACTCGGACACGCTACCTCGTCATTGGCGAGACGCCCAGCTTGCAAAGAGAGACACGCGGGGAACCAACCAGGGGCAGCCGACGAGCAAGGGCGCGAGGGTGCATTTTCAAAGGCCAGCTGAATGTCGTCAGAGGACTCCAGAAGATGAAGAGGAAGAGGAAGAATCAGGATCATCGCCCGGTAACAGCCTGAGAGGATCCGTGGCGCATATTGAGGAAGGCGAAAAGTCTGACGATCGGGATCCTGGGATTTCTGATTATTTCGATATGATTGAGCATGAGGGGGCCGGGAGCGGCGATGAGGACGATTATGTATATGTCCCTGATGGTAGCCCTCGTGGTAGTCCTTGTGGTAGATGCCTTTGAGAGAGAGGAGCTTTCGAGCAGAGCCTGAATGCAATGGAGCTTTCACTGCGACGCGGATTTGGAGAACGCTGAATCAGGTTTTTTCTCCAGCGGTGTTCCCGTTCGACAAAGCAATTTCGTCTTCTACTTCATCCTCCCCGTCCAAATACTCCAACGGAAACGTTAGCATCGCAGCAATGCCGCCTAAACCCTCCAATTGCTTGCCACTTTCATGCGTCCCACTCAGAACCCTTACTTCGCCTCCCTCGGTTTCTCTGACCCTATCCACTAAACCAACCCACCGCCTTCGTGTTCCCACATCTTGTGCCCTGAATAAAGAATCACAGATCAAAAGTATCCCACCGCCTCTCCCTACGGCCCCTTTTTCGACCGCCTGCTCAACTTCTCTGGGGCCGTAAGCGGCGCGGCCGTCGTCTTTGTAAAGTAGATTCATGAAAGTATCCATCAGTTTCGTCTCGCGGGCGTACTTGGTGTCTTTTAACCTGGCTAGGACTTCCGGGGACTGTAGTACTTCGTTTAGTGAGTGTAGGTATCCTGAAGCCGCGTGTACGACGACAAAGTTGCCCTTCTGCCCCATCAGCGACTTATTGCCCGTCCTCGTTGCCGTCTCCAGTATGAACTTCAGAAAAGCCTGAGCCACGAAGCCAGGACTCGCCAGCAGAATCGGCAAATTCGCACTCAAATCGATATGCCTCAGCAGTGTATCCAAGGTTGTCTGAAAGAATTTCTCGAGAGCTTTATCATGATCTCCTTGCTTCCCTGTCCCCCTCTTCTTCGGCACCGTTGTTTCCACCTTTTGTCGGAGGACTGTTCTCTGTCCTGTCAACACCGCCAAATGTGCCAAACCCTCCTGCATGATGACAGCCCAAACATCTGCTTGCTTTGCAGGGTCGCACGCCTCCTTCACAAGATTTCTTGCCACTGAATCCCATCCGTCTTTCTTTTCCAACGTAAAATTCCTGTTCAGCTCCAGATCCAGAGTATGCCATTGCCCCACCTTGGTGTATTTCGTCTCCTCGATTATACGTCCTGAGACGTGTAGCTGTGACGACTGGGTATCGAAATCTAACTTCTCCACTCGTATGAGTAGGTTAATGTGCACGCGTGTAGAGGATGTGGAGCCCGTGGCTGATTCCGTGGTGATACGGCGGAGCGCAGAGGCGCGGAGGAGATCCGAGGGACGGATGAGGTTGTAGGTGAACCACATGTCTTCAGGATCCTCGGGAAACAAGGTGATAGTGCCTGACCCATCGCGTTCAATCGCCTGTTTTACGAGGCGCATTGTAGTGAAGAAGGGGGAGATGGTGGGGCGGTTTGTCTTCGAGTGTGAAAGAGACTTCTTGAGGTGGGGTAGACGGACACAATTTGGACAAATCGCAGGGAGAGGTGGTGTTCAGGTTTGACAATGTTGAGAAGGTATTGACTACAAGCCTAGGTAATACATGTAAAGAGAGCGCTGTTGAGTGTTGTCCGAGCTCTTTGTTCCTTGTCTCTCTCCCGATTGGGGATCGTGTGAGCGCCGCTTTACGCTCTTTTACTGCCACTTGCACGTATAAAAGGGGGTAACAGGGTGTACATGTTGAATGCCTTTAAATCCTCAAATTGCCGTTCCAAAAAGAAATCCAGGTATTGTGGCTACCAGTCTTTCATGCGAGGCGCGAAGCGTGTGCTCAGAAGCACTGCCATTGGTACTTAGAAGGAAGTAGTCATTACACAGCAATTCTTGTTATTGGGGGCCACTGTGTTGAGCGATGTTCTTCTTCCCTCAAGAATAATCGACATCGACTTCACGGTCTTTCGCTTTTCATTACTTCTCACAGCTCTCGTAGAAAACCTAAGTCGATTCCAAGCCCTGCATTAATTTCTCTATCCTTTTCAAGGGAAGAGTAGCATCCCGTATCTCTGCTATTTCATCGGCCCATTTCGAGACGCGCTCATCCACCAGATCCCTTAATCTCGTAACCTCTTCTCTGTTCTAGGCCGCAGACGTAGCCCGAGCAAGGACCCATGCTTTCAATCGTTCCCAATTCTCCTCGCCTCGTATCTCCTTAGCGTCTTTACAGGTTATGATACTGTGGCGACCCGATGAAACACTGTCAGATACCGCTTGAAGGGAAGCCCCGGTAAGTTGTGGATCAGAATGGGGTTCTGCGGATGCAGTGGCTACATTAGGCCCAGATTGCGGACTTTCTTTGATTACCACTCTTAGTGATAGCTTGAGGATGTCGATTTCATGACTGGAAGGTCTTATTGGCCCTTCGTCCAGACAAAGGATCAAAATGGCGTTCAATGCATACCCAGAGATCCTTTCACTTTCAGGAATAAGATGGGAATGCAGGCCCGGCTCTTGAGAGGCAATATGCGGTCCAGCGTCCAGAAGCACATCGACTATTCGATCATAACGACCAGAGACTGCGACAAGCAAAGCAGTATATCCTTCAACTTTTTGAGCGTTGATGTCTTTGATGATCGGAAGCAATACCGCAACGACGTCCTCATACCCAGAGCCGGCAGCAAGTGAAAGCGGGCTGTTTCCGAAATCGTCGAGTCTATTGGCATCCGCCTCCGATGCGATCAGAAACTCAAGCACCTCCAAGTGTCTCATGTAGGCAGCATTGTGTAGTAATGTCGCATGAGAAGATATGGCATACGTCGATTGATGGATGTCTATCCCACGCTCACACAACGGTCCTAGCAGTAGCTCATTCCCTGTGTCGAGATCGGCGCATATAACAGCTTGTAGAGCCAAATCTCGCTCGGCACAGGTCTTCGGATCTTCATGCGTATCGATGTCAATAAAGAACGCAAACACGATTTGTATTATAACATGCCGGGTTGGGAATACCTTGCTCAAGCGTTCGAAATCGCCCGAAAAATCAGCCTTCCTTGCAAGAGCTTGACGACATCCTCGTAGCCGTAGCGCGAAGCTATACACAAGGCAGTGCGGCAGCCGTCGTTCGATATTTCACCACGTACCCCATTGTCAAGCAGGATTTGCACATGTGTTGTTGATCCTGTCTGAGCCGCCGTCCAGAGTACCGATTGTCCGTCGTTGGCTGTAGTGTCAACATTGGCTTCCCCTTCCATCAGCATGCGCACAACTCGGGAGGTTTGCAGCTGATGTTCCCTGGATAATGTGCTATTTTTCCAGAGGAATACCCCATGCAACGCTGTAGAGCCAGCAAGGCTACGGATCTCCGTGGTTGCATTCGCCTTCAACAGGTGACGGACTATTTCGCCATTGTTTTTCCTGGCCGCCCTGTGTAGGGCCGTATAGCCCGCTGCATCCGTTCTGTCGATCTTGGCACCTACCCGGACCAGAGTTCCGACTACTTCCTCGGCACCGTACCATGCGGCCCACGACAGGTCGTCTTCAAGGAAGTTGAGTTCTATTTGCTCAGTAAGTCGCTCAGACTTCTTGTAACAGTCCACGGCATCTGCCGGCGCCTGAGTCCTCGAGTCTCGCCGTCTTTTGAACGATAACAATGCCACAAACGCTCGTATGACATTCCGGCCTTGAAGTATAATCCCAATTTCTTGTAGAATCGAGCCAAATCTGATATTGCTTGCAAGGTCTCATTGTCGCCCGGTCCTGATAGTCTTTCTTCTACAATCGTCTGCATCAGGTAATACTCTTTGTCAGCGAGTGGAGTTGCAGGATCCTCAAGTGTGGCATGCCGATCCTCAACAATAGCATGAAAGTCCTCGTCACCGCTGACTCCATCGAGTCTCAACGGCGGCTTTGTCTTGTTGGTCGCGACGACTACCTGCTGCTGAAGGTGTCCATACAAGAGGGCCCCCCTGTCAAATCGTTCAGCTCCTCGAACCCCATGGGAAAGGTTTCCCGCTTTACTGCCTGATTAGAAAACCTACCTTGGGGACAATTCTAGGGGCCATCTCCACGTAGTTGTCTATGCACGTGTCGACATCCATTTTAGGACGCCAAGCATAATTGCAATAAGCCTTTGGAAAAAGTCTCAGCACCTGGTCTGACTGACGGCTTTCCCGACGACTCGTTTGGACTCCGGGGTGAAGAGAAGCGCAAGACTTATCCGCCATTTGAAGTGCCAGCAATCATCTCAAAACATTGACAGGGTAGCAGTGGCCGCTTGACTCCAGGACCCAGTCGCTCTTCGAGGACCCACGTAACTCTTTTTAAGATCAAGAGGGACGCGACTCCACGAACCCCACCGCCGTCTGAACGCAAGATTCGTCAGCCTTGCACCAGGGTCATGATTATTGTTTCCATACCTAAAGAGAGAAGACATAGTGCCTTTTCTGACGCCGCCGCCCAAAGCAGAGACCTGACAATGTGCCTGAGACAGCTACAAAAGCTCTGACTGAAATCAATGCAAGAAGTCTGTAACTATGAGATGGTAGGCAAGTACCCCACCCCCCCCACCCCCATAGCCAGAAGCTAATGCTGGAGGGTGCCTAGCTTGGTACCCTTCCTGCAGAGATCTAGATTCGGGTTCTCCATCCGAATGGTCGGGTCTAGGCACAGCTGCCCACGAATACATCAAAGCAACAGCAGCACAAAAGGCTCAGAACAATGCCACAGAGATCGACAAATGGCAGTGAGTTATAACACTGCATGCTCTACAACTCCGGTAAGAGTCCAGCCTTTAGCATTCATCTAGCAGATGTACTCTAGCCACGGCTCACGGGGCATTTTACAGAGTGAGCTGTGGACGACCATGATGGAGTTGACGGACAATAACAATTTGCCAGCCGTAGGAACTCTTGGAGATCGGGACTACCTTACGCTTGGAAGGATAGTAGCTTGATGGATATCCAACACCGAACAACATTTAGCGATAATAATAAGAGAAGTACTCGAGAGTTGAAGAGAGAGACGACGCATTGCTTTCTTTGTTACCATGTTTTGTTGAACAGTAACAACATTACTTTTTAAACATGTTGAGTGAGAGCGCGAATGGGATATAGGTGTGGGTCTGATAAGCGAAAATGGCTTGCCTCGACCACGCACTCACTTGTTCGGAACGAGGGCCCCGGATAATTGGCCAACTTTGCCCCACCCGGCTTATCGTCGTGCGGTGTTATTCATCAATTGTTCCTCAATAATAGACCCATGCAGAGACGAGGCTCCATTGTTTGTCTTTACGGGCATTGCTCTGCCAAGCATCCATACCGATAAGGGTCTGTTTTCGGCTTAGCTCCAAAGCTGACAACGAAGGGCAAATTTAGCCGAGCGAGATATTGAGTTCGGTTCAATGTCGCCAGTCAAGACTTTCACTCTCCTTCCCACCGGTATAGAAGGAGAGTAGGTGGTGCAAGAAGTGTAGTGATCCATCTCTAAGCTACAGGGTTGAGGTAGCTTATGTGATGAGCCAGACGAAGCATATGGATCATCGTCTAGCCTCTACCGGATAGCCCGTTCCATCTACAAGGTGTGGAAACTTACGTGCTTCCTTGAGGATGATGCTTTGACGTTCTAGGGAGGAGAAGATGGGTGGAAACACGTATGGAACGGTCAAAATCATTCTAGACGACAACAAGCAGCGCCAGGAAAGGAGAGGCCCAAGGAGACCTAGACAAAGGAAGGCGACCTAAGAACGAGTATGGAAAGCTGCCCTTGGCAACTCAGTCACCAAATGAACGGGCTCAGCTAGAGCAACGAGCACTTGAATCCTAGGACCTTCAATTAGTGGACAGCCGGTCATTGCAATCTTTGGTATCAAGCAGATTGAAATACTATGACCATTCCGAGATACCGAAGACATTCACGAAATTGACACATTGTCCTTCGGCCCAAGCATATCCCCCAAGACAAAGCGTGGAGGAGCGTAAGGACCCTTCTTCAAATACCCTTCCCCCACCGGTATGCCGCTAACCTCCATCGAGAAAAACATTTCTGAGAACCTCTTCTTCTCCAACATGTACCCAGGAACCATTCTCAAAGACTTGATGACGTGAATGTACTGAAAGAAGGGCGGCTTAGTGCGTGGGATTCTTCTTTTGTGAAGATAGAATTGCATATTTGCATAGACATCAATGGCGGCTGAGGCGTATGGTCCGGGGACTTTTTCAGAGGCTGGGTGCGGTGCTGCGTTTTTCAGACCGGCCATGACCGTGAGGAAGACTTCAACGACAGTAAGGGTTTTGGCGTCCGGTGGAAACAAAGGCCTCCAGTTGAAGCGCCCTTCGTTCAAGGCATCAGAAGAACTCTCTGTGCTGTTAGCGTTAACGAGGATGCCGCCTGTGGTTTCGTTGGGACTAGGCAACAGCGTCAAGGGCTCATCAGTGCCTAGAGTCCCATTGCTGCCGGTGACTTGAAGGTCCATCGGCTTCGTGAAATAAATATAAGCCACCACCTCGTGATCCCAAAGGACGTCAAACTCAGCTTCGTGGAAACTGTTCCTAGTGACGATATCGCGAATGCCGACCCAAATGCCCCAAACGACGAGACGGACCTCGACAGAATTTGCCGGAGCAGCCGGCAGTACGGCTATTTCTACCTGTGGGTATGCAGGCAGTACAACTCCGTGGCGCTGTCTGACTTTGCTCAACCAATCAAGCTCGGCGTATTGGGCTAGCAGCTCCACTACGTTCATGAAGCAGGGCGTGAGGGGGAGATTGGTTTCTCCATATTTTGCCATGAAGCCGAAGCGGGGGTCTATGGTTGCGTCTAGAGTCGTTGTGTTCACGAGCCGGGAACTTGCAAAAGCGTTCGAGAGAGTCGGAGGTAGGGAAGTGAGGGCAAGCGTGTTCACTGCCGTAAATAGACAAGCGAGCAAGGAACATGTTTGTCCCACGGCAGCATTCGAGCATCTCATCTCTAGGTCGGGAGATTTGTTGAAGATGCTTTTTAGTGAGGACGCACTTTTATTAACGCATTAGAAGAGTTGCATGGGACGGCTTATTCCTTGCATGCGGGTGCTTACGCGGCTGATGAGACGACATAGAGCCGACAATGCGATACGCGAAGGAATGTCCCCAATGAATGGATATGTGCATAAGCGAATGGAGTAAATAGAACTGCAGTTGGTGCTGTTATCGGCGAGGATCCTCACAAGAAGGGGTTTCGCACATTCACTGTTTCATAAAGTGAACAACGTCGTCTAGCTGACATTTTCCTCCCTTTTTTCCTGAATGCCCCACCAGGAATCGATCGAGGTTAGGCAGCTGTACAGAATGAAGTCTAAAGTGCTAGCGGCGATATGTTTTTCAAACCCAATCTTGGTCTAGCGGTACGGAGGCTGTTGCCTTGTTGGTATCTTCGTCTAGGGGATCGATCTTATATCTCGAGGTTTTTTTTATCGGATACCAAGCGAGTCTGAGACTACCCGTGATGTTATTCATGTCTTCTTGACAGAGTTGTTGATATTCAGCCATTGGTGGCTTAGGACAGATTCAACCATATAGAACATAAACGCACGTCTTAGGTTAGTCTCATCAGCCCCTGCCAAGTCATTTTGTCTCTCACTGTTTGGAGATCATCTGCTAACTGCATGGTCGCTGCGATAATCAGGAACTCGGGAAATACAATACAGATCGCAGCAGGGACCTTTTTGCGGGATACCCTAGGTACAGGCAGATGGAGGGCTGTCCAAACACAGAAGACAATGGTGGATAGGCAGCTCCAAAGCATGTCGCTGGTTCCTCGGCCGTGTGGGGCATTCGCCCAGTCATGGCCGGATCCGCATCGGTAGCATTTCGCAGGCCAGCTACAGAGGACGAGGGAAGTGATACGCAACATGCTGCATTGACCTATGATGCGTTTAAATCGGTGCTGGAATTGTGAGCAGTGTTCCTTTCCCAGTGAGCAGAGTATCGAAACGCTAGAGGTAATTGGTCGTACCTCATATGGGACTTTTTTCGCTGACTGGTAAGTTGAGGATTAGTTCAGGCAAATAGGATGTCAAGCCTTGAACAACGGAGATGTATACCTACGCACGAGGCTGAGAACGGCTGAACTCAGCAGCCTCGCCGGAGCAGGGTCTCCGTCTCGACAGTCGTAGACAGCCCCGCAGAAACGGGGCGAAGATGTTGCGTTAGTCCCTTTCTGTGTGATTGGACGACGAGCCGAGAGCACCTGCACCTCGGCCACTCGATCGACCAGGCTTTCGTGGTCGCAAACAGCCGAAGTAGCAAGCACGAGCCAGCTCGACAGTGGAGACGGACTTGCTAGGTAGAGTGTGACCAAGGCTGACACATTTGCAACTTGTCCTCATAAACGGGCACAGTCGCCTTTCATTTGCATGCTGAAGCCCCGTGCGAGGTGGATGCTTAGGTAATAGTAACTGTGTGTGTACCGCTATAGAGTCACTGAGGAACCATCCTGGGACTTGCAGATCAAGGGCGACCAATCAGCAAACAATGTCGGCTGAACACTCGTTCACCGCGGATATCCACGCCTTGTTCTAAATTGCCTTGTATGCTTCTGTTAGCCGTTGCCGGCATTAGTCTGGAAAGACTTCCAAACCTCTATGGGAATATAGCGCTCCTAAAATGTCCAATTGGGCGCCTATCACTGCCCTCATGATGCTCAGTTGAGCACGCATCCACTCGAAACCATGCAGCACGGCATGCTTCAAACCAAACTCCGTCATCTATATATACTCACGTAACCTGACTCTATATCTTTACGCGCTTCAGAGTATCTACCAGTCATGGCTCCCCATTTCCCATCGAGCTAGCCCTTCTCCCTTTGCCGTTAATGATCTCAGGCAAGATACCTGCGCTCGCAGCCACAAATCCGAGGAATGGCTTACTGGGCCTCAAGACTCTTGACAAATACTCTGGGTGGAATTGGACTCCAACGAAAAATGGATGGTCTTTGAGTTCGAGAATCTCCATCCGTTTGCCACTGTCATCGCGTCCGATAAAGTTCATGCCAGCGCTCTCCAACTTTTCAACGTAAGCAGGGTTGACTTCCCAGCGGTGACGGTGACGTTCATTGATGATTAGAGGACTGGGATCTGATGTTGTGGAAGGCTCTTGTACCGCAGTGCCGTTCGCGGTAGGATTGTGGTTTGGAATGTCTTTGGTGGCTGAAGATGTGTCGTCGCTGTTCGAGGCATCAAACGGGGAAGTACCGTTTGCAGTAGGCATCGAGGAGCCAGGATCGTTCCGATAGAGATTATAGATCTTTGACCATTCAGAGCCTGGTAAAAAGTGAGTGGCACGGTTTCCTCTATTGAAGAGTCAGCATCTTTCTCTTGTAACATCTGCTTGGAGAGACATACAAACGCATGGTAGCGCCCATGGTAGTCTTGTCTATCTCAGGCATTTCGATGATTAGAGGAACGGCCGCGTCACTGTTAAATTCGGTGCTGTCCGCTTGGGGCAAGTCACACTTGTTTCTTGCAAACTCGATCGCGGCAAGCTGTAGACCAAGACATATGCCGAGGAAAGGGGTGTTCTTCTCACGGCAGGTTTTGATTGCGGAAATCATTCCCTCACAGGCGCGTACACCAAAGCCGCCAGGCACCAACACACCATCCGCGGTGTACACTTGATGCCACGCTTTGTGATATGCCACGGGTGATTCGGTTTCAGCGGCGGCTTCGAGATGTCCGCTGTGGACATCTATCCGGACTAGCTTTCTTGAGCAGGCCATGGCAGCATGCTCGAGAGATTTGAAAACCGAGTGGTAAGCATCCGGATGATCAGTATACTTCCCGACCAGAACGATCCGAACTTCTTTGAAGAAATGATCTCGGGATATAGTGAGTTCTTTCCATGCGTTCCAGGTTTGGACCCCTCTCGTTACCAGCGATGATGATATAACGCTCTGCTTCAGCCGGAGGACGTCAATGAGTTGGTCGGTCAGACCTTGGGACTCCAGTAGTAGAGGCACACGGTAGAGAGAGGAGACATCCGTCACGGACACGACCTGACTCGGTTCGACGTCGCAATACAAAGCTATTTTGTCTATGAGCTTTTGGTCCAAGGGTTTCGAACACCGACATGCAATGAGATCTGGACTCAAGCCTAGGCTTCGCACATCTCGAATAGCGGCCTGGGTCGGTTTGCTCTTCAACTCGCCATGTATATCCGGAACCAGAGAGACATGTATCTGCAGGAAGTTGTCCTTGCCCACTGTCCTCCGTAACCTTCTCAAAGCCTCAACAAACACTGTACTCTCTATGTCGCCGACAGTTCCACCAAGCTCTATGATGCAAACATCCGGCTTTTCGTTCGTGTCGTCGACTGGCACACGTGCAACCCTTTCGATAGTCTCTTGTATCTCATCCGTAAGATGGGGTACCATTTGCACGGTTTTGCCAATGTATTTTCCCGCTCTTTCTTTTGCTATAACGCTTTGGTACATCTTCCCAGTTGTGATATTATTATCGCGGGTCAGGGTGACATTGAGATAGCGCTCGTAGTTCCCCAGGTCAAGGTCGGTTTCGCCGCCATCGTCAAGGACAAAGACTTCTCCGTGCTCGGCCGGAGCCATCAGCCCAGCCTATCCCGAGTTAGACCCTTTTGTAGACCACGGGGCGGGGCAAGACGAACATCAATATTCAAGTAGGGGTCTATCTTGATTGAAGACACCTGCAGGGCTATCAGTGAACAAAACTCCAACACGCCTCTTCCGCGTATCTATTAATGTGTTATACCTTGAATCCCTTGGTCTTCAACAAAAGTCCACAGCTCGAGGCTTCAGTCGCGTCAGTCAGCCACATGCTTCCACAGAGAATTTTTTGACGCTCACCGATGACTCCTTTGCCAATTCCACTGCATAATATCAGCTCTTATAAAACCGGTTGAAACAAAAAAGACCCCCTCACCTGATCACACCTGAGGACAGTCAGTCACAGTCACGGATAGGCAAGAATAGCACAAGAGTGTTAGACTCACCTCCAGAAACCAAAACGTACTTCATCCTGGCGGTTGGAGCAGCCTAACTGCCTTCTCCGATCTCAGTCGAACTCCACGTCAGTACAAAAGATGTTAGAACAAACCTGAGGACTGGATTTGCTGGTGGTATGTGCCGTCCTCCGCTTCTGCGGAGGGGAAAGAGAAAATAAGTGAAGTTGCAGAATTGGGCGTGGGATTACTCGAGCTGCCAAGCATCTTATCGATAAGCACGCGTTTCGGGCCTAGTTTTATAATTTTATACGCCGAGCTCGGCCCGGACTAGCGTATATCAAGGTGGTGAAAGCATCATCTCCTTTCTGTCCTCGAATGAAGCACAAAGGACGGGTATATATATTCGTTGACAATTTCCTGTAATGAGGAAAGCAGTAGCAAGGCTCAGCCATCTTCATCGACAATTTCCTAAACATCGTAGCTTTGCATCGGCCAAGATGGCAGATCTGAACATCAACTCGAAATATAAAATGCTCTCAGGCTATGACATTCCAGCGTTAGGTTACGGAGTAAGCAAGTGCTCTTTTATACAAGTTGCCTTGTCAGCTTAAATCTTGATGTCTTTAAAATTGGATTGTTTGGGGCTTTTTGTAGTGAAATTCAGAACAAGAGCTGATGCCATGATTGACAGGTCTATCAAACGTACAATCTCTGCCTCATTGATCAAACCTCTACTGATTGTACACAATCAGACCTGCCGACGTGGCAGAAGATGTCACCCTGCACGCATTCAAGGCTGGCTATCGACATGTCGGTAGGCTTCCCTGCTCGATTTCCATCGGAGACTCCGCGCTAACATACATCACGTTCAGATTCAGCAAGGGTTTACCGTAACGAGCAGCCTTGTGCAGATGCCATGAAGAAGTGCAAGATCCCTCGAGGCGAGATTTTCTTCACCTCGAAAGTTCCCCCTCGATCAATGGGCTATGAGCAGACCAAAGCATCAATAGAATCGAGCTTCAAACAGACCGGATTAGATTACATTGATCTGTAAGAATGCTTCTAGTACCGTACTACATCTGGGTACTGATCTCCTCTGATTGTCCTGAAAGGTACCTAATCCACGCCCCTTACGGCGGCACTGCGGCCCGCAATGGCACCTGGCTCGCTCTTGTCGAAGCGAAACGCGCCGGACTCATTCGCTCCATCGGCGTCTCCAACTATGGCGTTCACCATCTCGACGAGTTGGAGTCTTATATCAAAGAGCTTGAAGGACAGTACGGCAAGGGCCAAGGCGGAGAGATCAGTGTTGGGCAATGGGAATTGCATCCTTGGCTTACAAGGCCTGAAATCGTAGAGTGGTGCCAGAAGAAGGGAGTGGTTATCGAGGCTTATTGCCCGATTGTGCGGGGCCAAAGATTTGAGGAGAAAGTCTTGCAAGCGTTGGGGGAAAAGTATGGGAAGACGCCGGCGCAGGTGTTGGTGAGGTGGAGTTTGCAGAAGGTGGGAGCTTTTCAACGGCTAGACTTAAGTTGGAGTGACTGATATTCCACGCAGGGGTTTGTGCCATTGCCCAAGTCCGTGACGCACTCAAGGATTGAGGAGAATGCCAATGTCTACGACTTCGAACTGACGGCGGAGGACATGAAGTCGCTGCATACTACGGAATACTCGCCTTGCGCATGGGATCCGACGACAAGTGACGATTAACAGGCGAACTGTGCACAAAGGCTGCAGCACTAGACAACGCAGAAAAATGAAAAAGCAAGACATTTGAGATGGTCGGAACTTTTGGCACGACGATCACTTCTGTTCAGGAAGAATGTTATGAAGGTTTCTATTTTTTGTATCATGAGGTATCAATGTCTCCACGTCTATCCCTTGTATAAATTTGGTCTGCCCTATACAATCCGTTTCACAAGGTTTCCTCCCGGCTCAGAACCATGAACATCGCCAGCATGTCCGACGGAACCCTATCAAACCATCTAACGATGTCAGCTACCCAGAAACTTGATCATCTCGAGTCTAAACCACCAACCCAAGAGCTCCTCAAACACATCTCCCCCGAAAGCAAAACGTGCCCGCTTCACAATCGAAGAAAGAGCCGCAAGAGTCTGCGCCAGTCAGCAACGACGCGCCAAGGGCCTCCAGGAGTTCAAGCACACGCACCACCTATAGACCCCGGACCTGCTTCCGCCGGTGCAGGCGCTGCGCATACTGAGTCGATAGCTGCGGATAGTGCGAGGATGAAGAATGCGAGCTTCATGGTGAGGATTCGAAACCACCCTTGTTTTGTTCGGTCTGCCGGATCGAGAATGACGCTGGGGGTGAGGAATGTAAGAAGAGGTAAGGTAGATGGGACAAACGATAAGCTCCACCGGAGGCAACCCAGTACTTATACCCCCTCGAACGCATCCGTGAGCGATCACAACTCCACGGTTTGGCGTCGGCCTAGCCCCGTGCCCGCGACCACCGTTTTATACCTCCCAGTCTGAAACCCGAGTGGATGCGCCCAGAAAATCCACATGGGAAACGTTGTCCGGCCAGCCCCACCCACCACGTGCTCGGTCCGTGGCTCCGACGCTCGCTCCCCGCCCTCGATCGTAGGACATTTTCCGTTCGGATCACGGTGTGCGGGCCCACGTGGTGTTTTTTTTCCCCTTGACTCAAAAGGTTTATCCGCCACGGTTTTTCCTTTTCTACGGATAAGGTGCAGAGGTCACAAAGGCACTCAACCCAACGAGTGGTCGAGAAACTTCGGAGCATAGTCGGAAGGAAGAAGAAGAAGATGCTGTTGGCTGCGGAGGCTAGGTTTGCGCACGCCTGTTTCGGGATGCTGAGGAGACTTTGTGGCTGGCTGTGGCGGGTCTTGTGATGGTTTCTTTCACTGGGAAAAAGTGTGTCTAAGGGATCATAATGTACCCCACCCGGCCGTTGAGGAACGAGCCCCGTCATGTGGATTCTCGTCTTCACTTTGGCTAGTGGTTTTGGCTGATACGAAGGCTTTTATATTCTTTCGTTTTTTTTGGTCTGGCGTTTACAGGCTTCCAAAGGCTTTTTTCTCTAGCGACAAGATTCGTGTCGGATTGCCATTGAGCGTCCCCATCTCTTCCCTTGGAACGCAGGTGTCTCAAGGAAAATGTCACTACCAACCCGAGGCGCGCTTCAATCTTCCCAACAATGGCGTACTTTACATATCTCAAGGTCTTGGCAACATGGCCTCGTTATAAAGAAACACGGATACGGAATGTGTGCCGTTATACTCGGAGCAATGTCAGGACTTTTGGTGGAGGGGCTTTGTCCGTGGGGGCAGGATTGGGACCGTGTGGTGCAGAGGCAAGGAGATGATGCCGGGAGCGCCGAGAGACGAAGGTCATGGCAGATGTCAAAGGCATGAGTGAGGTTTGTAGGTTCATTAGACATGTCTCCGTATGTAGCATTATGTATCATAAGGGAATGGAAAGGCCGTACGATAGGACCGAGATGCGAATAGTCAGTCCGACCAGGTAACGCACTTGATCCTCAAGAACTCCTCGATGCCCGCACTACCATTGAATCTCCCCCATCCGCTCTTCTTGGCACCACCGTGAGGTAGATTGCTCTCGTCGTGAACGGTCATGTTATTGATGTGTACCGCACTGTCATCGTCAGCTTCGACTATTTACTGGTACCATTCTGCCTCTCTAAAGACAGTACGAAAGATTGAAAAGGGATAGGTACCCGGTCTCGATCTGCTTGGCAACTCTCAGCCCAGCTGCCAAGTCCTCGGTGAAAACAGCAGAGCTGAGGCCGTATTCAGTATCATTCGCAATCTCAATCGCTTCTTCTTCGCTCTCGACCACGATCAGCGACACGGTCGGTCCAAAGGATTCGATTTGGTACAGATCCATATCCTTTGTAACACCGTCAACGACAATCGGCCTCATGCGAGTATCCGAATGCTCTTTCGCATTCAGGTCTCCAGTCAGGATTTTGGCGCCTTTCGAAAGCGCTTGCTCCACGAGTTTCTTGTTCTTCTGCACCGGCGGTGCATTCACAAGGATGGGGGCCGATGACTCTTTGCCGTACATTTTCTCCATAGCGGCTTTCAGAGCTTCACGAAACTTCTCAGCGATAGAAGAATGAACGAGAATGCGTTCAGTAGACATGCAAATCTGCCCACTTTGCAGAAACGCACCCACCGCACAGCCCTCTGCGGCTTTTTGAAGGTTAGCATCCTCAAGAACAATAGCTGGCGCCTTCCCACCGAGCTCCATGAGCACTGGCTTCAGAAATTTCCCAGCTTGAGCTGCAATGATACTCCCGGTAGCAGTACTGCCCGTGAAGTTGATCTTCTTCACGAAAGGATGCTCAATGATCGCACTCGTCACCTCCGGAGCGTCTTGTGGACGATGGAAAATAACGTTCAGAACACCGTCTGGGAGGCCAGCGGCCTTGAGGATGGAGCCGATGGCCCAGAAGCAGCGTGGGGATATCTCAGAACCTTTAAGGACGCAGGTGTTGCCGGCGGCGAGGGCATAAGATATGGCGCGGAAGCCGAGAATGAAGGGGGAATTCCTGAGAATTCTATGAGGAAATGGGGGCCTTTGGAAGACAAGAGAGGGGTACTCGCAGGCGAGTGGAAGAGGGGACTCACCATGGAGCTATGCCGAAGACGACGCCGTACGGTTCCTTGTACATGAGAGCGCTCTTACCTTCTTCGGCACAGACAGGAATGTTGCCGGTAACGGTCACGATCCTGCCGGCTACATCTCTCAATTGCTCAATGCTGGCGGGTACATTGAAGTATGTGGACATTGCCTTAGTAGATCCAATTTCAATGTCCATGTACTCGCAGACTTCTTCACCGCGGCTCTTGAGTATATCGCTCGCCTTGAGTAGGATATCTCGCCTGAATGAGGGTTTCGTCTTGGACCATGCTGGAAAAGCAGCCTGGGCCGCTTCGACGGCTTCAATGGCTTGCCGTTTGGAGACTGAGGAACCCCTCCAGACTAGTTTGCCTGATACGGGGGAGACTACATCGAAGGTAGTTTCGTTGGTGACTTCTTTGCCGTTGATTAGAAGGGGAACGAC